GGCTAGTGTAGAACCCAGGCAGACTACTTAAATTAGGTACCAAAAGTACACGTGTAGCTAGTTGTATCCTCGTGAAATTGATGTAATATCGTATTTATCTGAATAAAGCTAAGTGCCGGGAACAAGTGATCACCTTAATATTAAAAAAAAATAATAATAATAATATATCTAAAGCAAAACCAAAATTCAATTCAATCTTACTATTTGTTTTTTTGCAATATTTTATCCTATAAATTAATTTTAAAATTTAAATAATAATTAAAAATTCCAAATACTGTATTTTTAATATATATTATAACTAGGTTTTGATTATAGCGCTTTGCGAAAAGATGTGACCAATGATTTTTGTGATGATGAAAGAGGAAAATTTCCGAGATTTTAGATTGTATATTAATTAATATTTTCGATTAGTAATATTTATATTTATTTGAAATCGATAAGATTCCCAAAATCTACAGAATCTCCGATTTTCACGCGACATTGTGATCTGCAGTGGTCACATCTTTTTGCAAAGCGCAATAATTTTAATCTAATTTGTTAAAAACTAAAAATTTATTTTTTTTAAAATATTTCAGAATTTAGTAATTAGAATTAAATAACTTTTTTATTAAATACATTTATTAAAAGCTTTTATTTAAAAAAAATTTATCCAAATTAAACTACTATTGCTAAAATATACCTAAGGCTCTAATAATTATATAAATACTAAATTAAAAAATTAAAACCTATATTTTTGTCAATTTATATCAAATAGTACGTTTTTTTTGATTAAAAATTAAATAGTATGTATTTTTTACCCTTATAAAAATTTTGTATATTATTTTACAGGTTATATAAAATAACAGTATTGATTCTAGCAATTGATTCCGGACTTCATTTCTATATATATTAAAAGAGAGAATGAATCTATTAAGCGATCAATAAAAAAAAATCCTAAAAAACCTATTAGAAGATTCACATTTACAATTTTAACTTCTAGCAGTACTACCTGCAATTTTCTGAACTTTCAATGAAGCTAACTCTTGTTCAAGTTCATCAAGTTGTTTTAATAGTTCTTCTTTTTCTTTGCGCGAAGCTCGAAAATTTTAATGGTCTATTAATAATTAAAAGTTTGAATAGCACTAATTTTTATTTTTATTTTGTTTACAAATAAAATTCAAGTTTCCATTAACGAAACAATCGGGTCCTCTTTTTTTAATATGATAACTAAACTACTTCTATGTAGATAGATGACATTATCATGATATTTTTGGCTATTTCCGAAAGAGAAGGATTATAAGATGTCCATGAAATATTTTTATATATCAATATCGAGAGTTGGAGAACTGGAAAATTTTGGGGTATGCTCAAAATCAGGGACGATGATTCCTAGATCCATGACTTGATTGGCTATACTATTACAAATCTTTTTAGAGGCGTTTCGTTAAGAGACAATGGCAAGGGAAAATTTTTGGGCATGCTTCGGCCCAAGGCATCCTTTTCTTATTGTGCCTTGGGCACGCCCTCATAAGTATAATAATGGTGTTCGGTTATAATTTAAAACTAGTGCCACGTGACCGACTTACTAAAGGTTATGTTGGCTATATGTTATTCCATTTCACAAATATATACAGTCGCCTCTCTCTAATCCGAACCATAATAAATTCTGTGAGAACCGAACGTAAAACTCTAGAACATTTGTAAATTTATTATAAAGTTCGGATTAGTAATATAATACCTCTTTGAGAACTGAACTTTTGAGTAATTTTACATATAAGAACAGACCGTTCGGAATAGAGAGAGTTGACTGTATTCTATTTACACATAATTTTAATGTAAATGCTACTGTATCCTAATGTGGACAGACTTTAAGAAATTTTGGGAGATATGTACATCTCTTGTGAAAGATACCTATAATTTCTCTTAATTATTAGGCAGAATGCAAAGTTAACGTGATGGAATAATTCATAATACAAATCCCGTTATGTGATTATAAATAACAATTTATTTTTTGAGATGGAATCACCGACCTAAATTTTGCTTTCCTTCGTCCACTTATTCTAGTCGTTACTACCGTAAAAATTCATATACAAGACCCGGGTCTGTTTCATTCCACCCATTTTTAAACCATCTAGTAGGGATCAGGTAGTAATTTACATGTGTCACGTGATTTTTAATTTACAAATTTGTTAGTAATCAACTTAAAAACTACCTGGTTTTAGACGACCTCATTTAGTGGACTCGGGGTCTAGTACTCGCCCAGAGGTTACATCATGAGAAGAAAAAAATTTAAAGCGCATACACACTTTTATATTCATAATAGGCATTCTAACTATTAAGATTCTGTGGTTCGTACCTGGTCTAATTCATGGTGGGTCTACTATTTTGAGGATCTTGTATATGAACTTTTACGGTATCGTTTAACATTAAAGTAACTAGTACTGAATAATTTAAAAATTTTAAATAAACAGTAAATCAATATTTTAAACATCAAAAATTGACTTATTAAATTGTTAATTTGTTTAGATCGATCTTTTAATAGTCTAAAATGTTTGATATGTTCGATCCCGATCATACAAAAAATTTATATGATCGGTCACGATCAAACAAATGATTGATACTCCATCTGCAGTTAGTTAAAAATTATAAAGGGTTGGAAATATATATGTACAGTATATTTGTTATCGTTATAAAAAAGCTTATTAAAAGACCGTTATGAATGATGACAACTGACTTTATATCAGTATTAATCTCATTATGCTAAATAATATATTTTGGGTATGTGCCTGATGAACGGGTAGGTTTGAATCAATTTTTATAAGCTGCAATATGAGATTAGTTGGTGTTTCAAGGTCATATAAAGCAACCGTTTTTTTGGCCTAGTAACGATCTTTCGCATTTCCAATCTTGGTATTTGCAAATTTTACGTAGATAAAAATGGATAATCTTGAGATTCGGTCATCAAAGAGTAAGAATCTTTAAAATGAATAAAAAAAATTTTTTTTCAAAATATAAGTAGAAAATTTGCTTAATTTTTTTCTTTATGATACGTGATGTTAATATAACTATCATAAAACTAACATAAACAATCATATGTAACGTTACTACATATCGATGAATTTAGAATCAACTTAGGTGGAATCTAAATCCACAATAATTCAATAATTCCGTTCCAACGTACCGGTACGACATATACAGTACATATAATTCATTTCGCTTCTAACCGAGTTGTAACCTAATAAATAAATAAAACTTATATACGGATTTATTAAATAGAATCTCGAAACACTACTAATATAGAGCGTTTTTCTTTCCAAATTAATATTATCAATCCTGAGAGATACAGTAAAAAAAGTATTAATTTTGTGCCACTAATATAAATGGATTCACTTTATCCCGTGAAAATTTTCAAGAATTGCGTTATGAATGGTTAACATATTGAAAATTTCTCTCCATTCATATCTCTTTGAGTATGCAATCCATCATTTGGTGTTTAAATTCTAGATTTTCTTACCATTTTAATGTACAATTATTATAAGACAGTGTAGGCGCATATCAAGAAAAGAATATATTTATGTGCCGTGTAATGTTTGTTACCAGTATTTTTAATACAAAATCATCTATTTTTAGCATGTATGCTGAATAAATCGTATGTATGTAGATGTACATAAAACTTTGTCTTTGTTATGCAAAATGTTAAACTCATTGGTAATTCATATATCGAGATGACTCCATTAAAAAAAAGTTAATTATTTTATTTATAATATATATGCTTTTTTTTTTGAATGTCATTAATCTTGTGAAAGGTTAAGTAATTGAAAAACTTTCGAGAAACATATATATATGCCATGCTTGAGGTTGCCATGTGCTTTCCGATCTTCTTACATGCATTTAACAAAGCAAGGAGCACAACGTATACACGCATAATCTTTTGTTTCTTTTCAGATCTAATTTGAACACCACATTATTTATTTAACCTCAGCAATTTAAAAATTGATGCACTAATATTAGAGATAATATTTCCATCATAATGTTTTGCATCAAAATACGAAATTGAGAGTGAACAAACGAACATACATATATTAACTGCTACAATGTTCATACTTTGATAAATTAATTAATTAATCAACAAAGTATATAAATAAATAAACAAAATTTTGAGTAACCGATTTCTTCTGGAGAATTAGTTTCGGATGTGACCTTAGAGGGTAAGCTATTTCATATTTACTATAAGTTAAATTAGCATTTCATTAGTGTGTGTGAGTTTCACATAAATGCTTACATAAATGCTATTTAAACTGTTATGTATATTCGGAGATGAAAAAATGGTATGCTTGTTTACCACTAGCCGAAATTAGAAATTACGACCCATTCTCATTGTACGTACGTACGTACTTCCTAATGCTAATGACGATATTCAGTCACAACAACAATATCAGTATAGCAATTTTTAAATATAAAACTACTTGGTAAAAAAAAAAAAAAAAGTTTTTAATCTATCGAAAGAAAAAAATCAACAGGTTGGGACGTTTGACAAGATCTGAAAAACTAAACAAACAAGAAAAAAGGAAAAAAAGGCCTAGGAAACGTCTGCTTGGTTTTTTTTTTTCAGTCAAGATTTCCAAGTTCAACTTTCAAATCATATTTTTCTTTTATTCAAAGAGATGTGATGATCGTTGCTTCTTCATTCTTAGATCTGTGATAAAAATTAAATATTGACCTAAATTTAACATTTCCATACGTTATGTCTGATTACATTCCTTTAAACTTTATTTATGTCATTATAAATTTAATAAGCTTGACTCTATCAGGGTCATTAATAATATTAATGATAAAATCAACAACATATTTCCTTAAACATACCCTTCTTCAACTATGTATATGTGCTTTTTTCATTCACATAAGTTACCTCCCATCTACAATATACTATGGTAATATAATGGAGGTATTACAAGATGCCGCGACACAAACTAGTAATTCAATAACGTTATGTATAATTCAAGCAAAATTTATTACACTTTTTTCTTATCCATTACAATTACTACCAGTAATCTTAACAATTAATTTATGGTTCGCTGTAGTGAGATATGATGTTAAAATTGAACAAAAATATTTTTGGTGGTTCACTGGATTTATTTGGGGATGGACAATTTTATATAATGTTATAAGTTTGATACTTGATAGTAGAGTAACAAATTCAAACGTTAGCGCAACTGAATTCTTTTGCGTACAATCTTTTAAAATGATGTGGATTTGGTATTGTTATTTAATATCAATGATTATTCTAACCACTATCTCACTAATTATTACAGGTAAGTTAAAAAGGAAAAAAAAAAAAGGAATGGAAATAATTATAATGAATGATACATTTGGAGTATATAATCTAATTATTTCATTATTTTACTAGTCCATTCTGGCATTGTATTTTGGTCCCGTTGGCAAAATTTTTCAAATAGGCAGAGTAGAAATACCGCTATTAAGCTAGGACTAGCCGGTCGTTTATTGGTTTTAAGTTGTATATATTTAATTTCATTATTAATATCATTATTGTCAGCATTGATGAAATATCTTAGTAAAAAAACTAGCGGATGGTCGATTGTCGCAGATTTTTCTAGTTGTTTAATGTGAGTTTATTTATACGCACGTATTACCACATGTTAATATATATTCATATATATATTTATATTAATATTTTTTTTTTTTTTTAAAAAAAAAAAAAAAAAAAGTGGAACAACAATTTTTTTAATATTTGGAACAACCAAATCTGCAGCAGTATTTTTACCATGTTGTTACTATGTACCACCAAACGTCCTACGTTCTCAAGAACAATCAGGAATAAGTCGTGATGAAGTTAATCCTTCATTTCAACTTCAAATAATAGGGGAAGATGGAAATCAACTACAGCTTCCTTCAAGATCTCCTAGGAGTCATCTAGGAACAAATGATATAGCTGATATGAACATACTTATACCTGACAGTCCTGGTGGTGGATCAAGTTTTTTGACTATTTCGAGTCAGAATATGACGTTAGAAGATCTTCCACCTTTGCCTAGCTCTCCACCACCATTACCCTCACCTACAATACCTTTACAAACGAGAGATGATTTTAGAATACATGAATTACAACGAGACGGCTATTCAAATTCTGGTCAATTTAATATTGATTGGTATAAAATTGATGACTTTGAAGATAATAAAGATGTAGTAATTACTGATTAAGACTACTATAAATCTAAATGGCAATTAATTTTCATGAAAAGCTCAATTCAAGAAGACATTGAAAGAATAGGTCATTTGACGAACTTATTTTAAACGAATTAACAAACTCTAATAGAACAAATATAAAAAAAAAAGATTAGATATAAAAATTCTACATTTTAGATAAAGTTAACATAACCATCTATATCTTCTTACTTGTGACCTTTTTATACTTTAATAAAATGTGTTATATGCAAAAAATTTTAATTCTAGATTTTCTCATTGGTTGTCGAAGTAAGGATTGGGATTGCCATAGTTCCGGGTCGAATGATGTTGATCATTTATCTTAGTGTCGGCTGAATTAAATGTTACTACGTTATGTTAATATGTTAGGAAGGGCAGTTCTAATCTCTATGGCGAAGGCGAAGGGGTTGTTTTCATATCCTGGACTGGTAATCCAGAAAACCGAGAACTCTGCTAACAAAATAACCTTTGAAACTATTCTATTTTCGCGAAATAGCATCTACATACTGTAATATTCACATTTTTTATGGATAAATGAAAGGGGATGCTTCATTTTAGGATGGTCGTCGCTCAACTCTCCGAAAGTTATTTCCCCTTCAGGACACTTACCCGACATCACATAGGGTTAAGGTTAGAATTTGATTAGTTTTAGATATATATTTTAGTATATTGTTACTGTATATCGAGTAGGAGAAATAGTCATTTTAGATATCCATAAATATAAATTTTTAATAACTATTCTTAATTTTCTGGTCCAGTTCGAATAAACTTTATTTATTATCCGAACAGCTCTAATAAAATAGAAGATTGATTATTCGAATTGGATAATCAAATAATTAAATTTTACGTAATCCCAAAAGGTTATTTCGTTAGAAAGGACACCAATTTTAGAAATTGGAATCGATAAATAAATTACCGAACTCTAAGCATCGATCATATAAAAATTAAAATTAAAATTAAAATCATATTTATACAATATCCTGGTTTATGCTTTGCAACATGTGAAAGATACCCTGAAGGCCCTAATAGAGAAACTTAGACTTTATAATTGGAAACAAAAAAAAAAAGTTCATGGATACTCGAAAACTCGTGTTAATGCTCGGAACTAATCAATTCCAATTTCTACCTATAATAATTTATTTGTTATCCAAGTTCATTATCACATCAATAATTCATTATCTAAATTCTCGAATTACGCCTAGGGGTGTAATTTCAAATTTTGACCTAAATTAAGCTTAATTCAGGTCATAACTTAAAATAGCGCTCATGCCCGCTATTTTGAGAATTACCATTTCGTTATAGCTTCTCTCTTATATCCAGAGACAAACTAAAGAATTGTTATGGTGCTAGAAGTCTATATTAGACATGTTTTTTAAAGCACTATAGCTTTTTATACATGATGTTTTCAAAAAACTGACTGGTACTTCTTAGAGCAATATTGGTTTTATAAATTTATCAAATATTTTTTTGAAAAATCTTCTGTATAAATAGTTGATGCGTTTTAAAGATTACTATTGTTTTATATACTACAGTGCGTACAACCTAGTCACAGCAAATAAAATTGATGAAATTCAAATTGCTAATCCTTCTTCAAAAAAAATAGTAAACAAAAAATAATATCTTAAAATATTAAATCAAAACATGCTAAACACTTTCAAGTTCTTGAATTTTTTTTAAATCTATTTATAAAAAAGTTATAGCAGATTAAAGTTATAGTATTTTTATAATTAATTATAATATTTGGCCACCTTTTATATATATAAAAAAAGCAAATTTGGCCTCTTTAAACAATTAATTTCATTTTATATATATTAAAAATTTAAAATTTGGCCACTTTATATATAATAAAAATTTAAAATTTGGCTACTTTATATATAAATATTACCAAATTTTCAAATTGGCCTCTTCATATATATAAAAAATAAAATTTGAATTGGCCGCTAAAAATTTTTATTTGCTGCGACTAGGTTGTATGCACTTTAGTATAAGATTGATCTTTAGCATAGGCTCCTAGCACCATATTCTCTGGTCTCATTCTAAGAATCGCAAGACTCTAAGGAGATCTTCAGAGTCTCGGCCTGGAGGCAGCAACATAATTCCGAAAATTTAATTGATCCTTAGAATAAGACCTAGGTGATTTCGTAAAGAACGTACGCATACATGATAAAACGAAATAGGACCAAGGCTAATTTGAGTTTGTTTGTTTTCATATAAAATTTGCTCTAAAAAAATACATTAAAAAATTACTATTTAAAACTGCCATCTTTCAACCTGTTGAAGCAATTATTGTCGGAAGCCATTCAGGAATCAGTTAACTCATTAAATTATAAATTATTAGCATCTACTTCTATCTGTTGTTATTGCTAAATCCTAGCTAGTTTTAGCTAATGATAATCGTAAAAAAGTTTGTGTTTAACAGCATTATGTAAATATTAGATAATGTTACAATAACGGGTAATGACTATCTCCACCATATGGGTTGTTTGCTAGGAAAATTACCATTTAATACTTGCTTTCAACAGTGATTTTCCTAGTAAACGACCCATTTATATATATATCCAAGGCGGAAAGCGGTGCTGCTCACATGTAGACAATTACATCGTATACACTTATTTCACGACAATTAATTCACAGACAAATTTATTTTACTGGTAATTAATTCACAGACAGGTTCATTTTATAAAAGTTTATTTTACCGACAACTTATTTAATAAGTACTATTTATTTCCCGCAACGGCGGGAATAAGAGGTACATCCCCGGTCATCTGGGGGCCCGAAGGGCCCA